TAGTGGTTTAGGGGAGGAAAAAGAGCCAGTTTTTATTTCATATTTGACAAGGAGTGATTAATTTCATTTTTGTCTGAGTTGAAGTTCATAAAATCATCAATTTCAACCTGTTCACGTGATAGTACCCTGCCAAGACCCTTCTAGTTATTTTGGGTTTTCAATTTTGCAATAACATATTTTAAATTATGGATTAAAATGGAGCCGCAAATCCTGCCAAAGTTAATTTGTATTTATTAAAAACCTGGTTGAGTACCAGAAAAAAAATATTTTGGTAAATATTCCACGTGCGTTGGGGTTTTATTAGCGGGTTATAAAATGAGTGGGCGTTGGGCTCTTTTTCCTTTTTCCTTCACCCCCCCCCCCCCCCCCCCCCCCACCTCACATCAGTATAGATTTCATGGTGTAAGGAGTAGTTTTACAAAGTTAATTATGAAGACCAAATATGTCTGGCACAGCCTAATTAGTCCGCATTTAAATTTTCATAACGTTCGGGCAATGTGAACAGTTACTTTACTACTAAAAAACTGCAGATGGGGGGGGGGAAGGAAAAAGAGCCCATAGTTAATACTAAAAATACTAATAAAGGAAAAGTTTGGCTCTTTTCCCTTTTCCCCACACCTCACATAAACATCAATTTTTTGGTTTAACGAGTGGTTTTACAAGGTTAGTAATCAATACTAAATATGTTTGTCATGGCCTAATTAGTCCGCATGCCAATTTTTGTGATAATTGGATGTTGTCACAATGAGCAGAAAAGTTACTCATAAAGCTTCGCGTGTGTGTGTGTGTGGGGGTGGGGGGTTGGGTGGGGTGGGAGTCGGGCGAACGGAAAAAGAGCTAAAGGTTCAAAAGGTTCGAGTTTGATTGAAATTGGGTCGTTTCAAAGATGTGTCGTTTCAAAGATGTGTCGTTTCAAATATTATTCGAAGCCATAAATCCGACAAAATTTTAAAATCATTTTATGATTAAAAAAACAAATGAACAATGTGAACAGAAAAAAAACACTTTAAAAAAATTTGCAAGTGGGGGAGGGGGACGAAAAAAGAGTGGACGTCAAAACAGGGTTAATTGCTGTCGAATATCGAATGCTTCTTTTCCGCGAACAACTTTTCCACTCAGAAAAAGCAACTATAAAAACAAAAAGCAACAATAAAAACAAAAATTTCAAATGAGTGGGGGGGGGGGGTGTTGGAAAATATCCGGAAAATGGTAGCCATAAAAAATTTTGAAAAAATATTGAGAAATTTGAGCAAAAACTGTGAAAACTGTTATTAGCAAACCTAGCAACCAATTTGTAGAAAAATGTCTTCGCAGTTTCAACCTATTTCAACTGTATTTCAACCTTACAAACAACAGTAAAACCTTCGATAATAACAGGAACACATTTCATTTCAAAGAACCAAATCAGTTCTTGGAACCAAATATCTACTACCATATCAAGTTGTAACAAAAATATCAGCTCAGCACGGAGAACCACTTTTAAGTACCTATGGTTAAGACTTACATGCAAACCAATTTATGGTATTTGAAGAGCTGGAAAAAATCTTAGCACCATCGAGCAACAAGCACGGAGTAATCTGGGATTCGAACCCACGACCTTTCGACTGAGAGGCTGATGGATCCCATGCTTTTGGAAGATCAAGTAAAACTGTAACTGTTCTAGAACATTCTAGAATGGGAGTAAAATTTAGAGGGGAAACTGACGATTACCATACTAAATAATGCTTATCATAACAAATCACTTCACCTCTGATTCTAAATCAATCTATATCGATAAGCGCCCAAAATCTTTGCCCTTTATTTCAATTGCTTTCAAAAGCTGTTTTTGACGTCAAAGGCTTATTCTTCTGTTTTTTTTGGTTTATTTTTTTTTTTGCAAAAATGGAAGTTAATTTTTTTAAGGAGTGCTGTAGATGAGTTATGACTGACATTTAATTCAACATCTTCTAATTATTTACAGTGACAGGCCTTTTATTCTGTAGCAACAAATCAACGTGTACAAAATTGAATGAGTTATCATTTGACTGTCTTCTTAGAAATCAGTTCAACTCAATCATCAAGCGAAAAAACTGCGATCACGAGAATTTGGGTTGATAGAAGGCTCATATTGAATGGGTACTTTCTAGGGAACCTTTCAAATTTAGTAATACTTACGATTGCGAGAAATTGGATATTAGAGGCTCATTAAAGGGTTAGTTTCTAAGAAAATACTTCAATTTTAGAAGATTTTTTTTTCATGTGCGTCTGGCTAAATTATTTTTCCAATTAGTGTCGTTTTTCGGCTTGGTGTGATAAAGGAATCTTAGCGAAAAAAAAGAGCTTAAGCATTTTCGTCAGTCATGTAAAATATAAAAATTGGAACACAATTTTTGAAGACAAATAACAAGAAAAACAAAAAAATAAAAAAAGAATTAATTTTTCCAAAATAATTTTTCAAAATTTTTCTTCACATTTTTGAAGCTTTTGATCATTCAGATGAAGCTAAAAACTCCAAATACTAACTTCATTAGAGTAAAACTAAATTTGCAAGGCTTGAATTAAGCATAAATAAGCGGGAAAATTTTGATTCACGACTGAAAGGGCTTTAAAATGATATACCCAGTCCAATGATTATTTGTGGTAGCTGATTTTGCGAGGAAAACAAAAAAGACTGCTCGCTTGAGTTAAGACAAAAAATCAAAAATTTCAAACCGCTTTTTCTTAACACTGGGAAAACTTTTCGAAAATTTTTTGAGGTGGTCCGAATCGCGACTGAAAAGTCTTTAATATGATATATCACTCAACCCTGTACGATGATTATTTGTGGTAGCTGATTTTGCGTAGAAAACGAAAAGAAGAAAAAAAACTAACACACACTCGAATTAAAAACTCCTCCCCATTTTCAATGGTCTGAACAATAAAAGTATAAATTTGGCACACTAAACATTTTTCTAAGCATTTTACAAAACGCAATTTTTCTTGCATTGAAATTATTTGTTACCCATTAATATTAAAAATAAAACTATCAAAATTTTTTTAGTTTTGCTTCATATTTTTGTTTTTGGAGCAGAAACCGAAACTTTTCTTAAAATTAAACACTCAGTGTCAACCACAGCGGCAAAAACTTTGCAGAATAACTGCATTGAAAAATCACCATCAAAGCTAAAACATAAAATTTGCGCAGATGTGTATTAGAAAAACTAAATTCCAACTAGTTTGTAATTCAAAATTGTAACCTATTATAACTAAAACCTTATAGCCTTATAACTAAAAATTTTACTTATATAAACTGTATGTTTGAAAATTAGCTGTTTCTTGAAAAATTTAAATTTTTATCTCAAAACATAGCCAAACGGTTGTTGAATAAAAGTCAAAGAACACAAGGAAACGAAAAAAAAATTGACAGTTTTTTTGCAAAAAATTTAATTTAGGTATTTCAAAGTTAGAAAAGGTGTAGTTAAAGCTCTCCCAATTAAAAAACTAATTTATGATTGAAAAGTTAGACATATGTCTTAGAAAATAGACATAATGTTTCAGACACAAGAACAAAAAAAAAACACAATTATTGTTCCGACCATTGAAAATGGGGAGAAACTTTGTATTTGGATGTTTTTTTCTTTGTTTTCTATTCACAATTTTTAGTCGGAATGGCTCAGATGATAAATTCTTTAAAAACATTTTCGTTGTGACTTGAAAGACATTCAAAAATTTACAAGGACATCTTCCGTTGTCGAGAAAGATTTTTTAGGTTAATTTTTTTTGCTCTCCGTTCAAAATAATCTCAAATAAAAACTGGAGTGATTCAAATAATAAATCATACAAAAACCTTTTCCGTCATAATGTGTACAACTTTTAAAAAATTGTCTCGGTTTTGAGAAAAACTGGTTTGAAACTTTTGAGATTTAGTCTATTTTAGAGCAAGTGACCCGATCGAGTAAAGTTTTTTATACAAAAATTAGTCCTCCTTTAGACTGGTAAAATTTAGTTTCACTGAAAAAATTTGTTTTGAAAGCTTCAAGTAGCACTTCACTGGAAATAAAAAAAAATTTTATGAAAAAATGAAAATATAAAAAAATCTAGAAAAATAATAGGAAATAGTTTTTTTCGTATTTTTTCATTTGGTGAAAACAAAAAAAAATGTCGTCGCTTATGCTCACTTCATTAACTTTCTATGCTTTTATTTAGTTTTGGTGCCACACTGCGCACAAAAAAGCAAGGATAGCCGGTTACTGTGCAAGAAGCACAGAATGTTCCGACCACAGTCTTAAAAAAACACAAATATGTTTTCTCAAACTGGTGTCGTTTTTTCTGCATGTTGTGATAGAAAAATCAGAACGAAACAATAAAACTTAGGCATATTCGAGAGTCATAGTAAAATAGGTCAATTGGAAAACATTTTTTATTGCGGAATTGTTTTGAATATTCAAGTTTTTGATTCCCAAAATAGCGCTGAAAAACTCTAAAAACTACCTTACTTGAGTAAAATTATATTTTCAAGGCTTAAATTAAGCCTAAATAGGCTATTATAATTACTAGCTACCTTACTAATTAGCTCGAAGTTTGACCGAAAATCAAAAACTTCAAACCGGTTTTTCTCGACACTGAACTTTTTTGAAATTTTGAAGGTTAATTCGCATTACGATTGAAAGTGCTTTAATATGATACATCACATCAGTCAACCCTGTCCGATGATTATTTGTGGTAACTGATTTTGCGTGGAAACAAAAAGTTGAAAAAACAAACTAAACACACCAGAATACAAAGCTCCTCCCCATTTTCAATGGTCGGAACAATAATGAAAAATAAACTACTAAATGTGTAGTTTTTTTTATAAGTGTGCTCGGAACATTCTGTGTTGCTTGCACAGCAACTATCTTTGTTGTTTTGTTTTCATATTGTATGATAACTTGAAATTTGTCAAAATGTCAAATTTGTCAAATTTGGCTTGGCGTTGAACTTCAAGCTTCTAATCGTTCTAGAACATTCTAGAAAGTGGGCATGAATAATTAAAACAGACTTACATGTGCCCCCTCCAGTTCCTGTATGGCTCGAGGGTCCATGATGTGAGCGTCCATGACTGGTGTATGAGTGACTGGTCTGCATGTTGGCCACTATCTTCCGTCTCTCCCGACTGCTGCTCCTGATCTTCAAGCCGATGGCCACGTAGCAGAACAGGATGATCCCGCCCGGAATGATATACGCCACTGTGTACTGCACCATCAGCATCACTATAGTAAAAGAATAATCATAATCAACAAATAGGCTCTTTTCCAGTTTCCCCCCTTTCAAATTACAATTTGAAAAGCTTATTTAACCTTGTCATAATGCAATGAAATTTGGCGTGGTGAACAAATCGACAACTGTGAACAGATTTGTTCTTCATACTTTACAGCGTAACATCACGCATTCAGTAATAACACGTAAACAAACATAAAACTCGGTATTTTAAAAGGGGGGGGGGACTGGAAAAGAGCCAACGAATAATTAAATGAACTCTTTTTTATAAGTTGAAAAAGTTGAAAATGTTTTTAAAAGTCTATCATCAAGCATAGCCAACAGACGGTTGAAAAAGAGTCCAAGATTGCAAGGAAGCAGAAAAAATAACATTGGTTTGCGTTTCGCAAAACTTTAAGTTTTCGAATTTCAAAGATTTTTTAAATTTTAATAACAACTTATGATCGACTTTTTTTTGATAAGATTGAGAGAAATTTGGATCAATAAGTAAAGTTATTATTTTTCAAGCAAATCTAAAAATTTAAATTCTCATTTGAAAACAAGAAATTTATTAAGTTTTTCGGACTTTTACACTTTTGCTGTTCGATAGCGGAGTTACCCTTGCCACAAAAAATGAACTGAACTTAAAAAAAATCAAATGTCAAACAGCGAAAAATCAAATTTGAGCTAAAACAAGTTTTGAGAATTTTCCTGGAAAATAACTAATCATCAAGACCCATTTATACTGGGCGACCTTGAAAACGTAATAGCAAAACTTTGATGAGTCGAAAATTTTTCAAGATGATTTTTTCGAACTTTAAAAAGCGACAATAGCAAAAATAGCAACAGAATTTGGTTCATCGAGTTTTCGCTGCTGCGATTTCATTGTGGCCAAGGATATAAAAGCCCAGTGCCATTGACCTTTAATAACAGAAGAACTAATTTTTATAAAATAAATTAAGTAAATAGTCACATAATCCCATTTTAGAATAACATCAAAATGACTAGAATGGGATTATGTGATTACTTTTGCAACTCGTCTTCGTTTTCTTTTCTATTAATTACGCCCAACAAAATGCCATTAGGTATTAGAATCTCCTTAAATGTCATCGTTCTCAGCAAAAAAGGAAAATAGTAGCTAGATTCAGTTGGCACATGTTTAAACACTAATTCAGTTCTTTGCACGGGTAGGTTGTTGGTATTAAGCACCGTAGGGATAGTTAAAACGACAGTTAAAACTCAACAAATTTTTTTCTTTTTTTTTCGGGAGATCTCGGAAAACCAATTTGATGGATTGCCAAATTTAAAAAAAATTTGAAAATTAAAAAAAAAAATTTAAAACCTAAAAAATTGCCAAATTTAAAAAAATTTCGAATATCTGCCCGTTGTAATCAGTTGAAAAAAAAATAGTTTTGCTCAATTTTTCAATTTAAATTGAAAAAACAATCAAGTCCAGCTCTCTATCAGAGACCGATTAGATATAGTCGGGGCTGGTTGAGGTGAACTTGGTTGAGGTGCTTACTTTTTTTCAGGAACCTGAACATTTTACAACCCAAAGAGTTGAATTAACAAAAAATTCTCTAAAGGCGCCTCCGACAAAAATATAGAAGATAATCGTTGAATTAGAAGAAAAAAGTCCCTTACCTATTTTGTTTTTTTTTTCTTATGGAGGGAGCGTGTGAGTATCTAGCCATAATAAATTATAGTTATTATCATTTATTACTTATTATTATAACTAACTTCTTATGAAGTGAATGTGTGAGTATCTGGCCATGCATGAGCTGAATCCGACAATCCACTGGATCTCCGCCGCTTGGGTCCACATGATGACAAACAGACCCATCAGAACCAGCCAGTACCCGCCTAGGAGACAGAACAGGATTTTGCCCAGTCGCCCCCCTCGGCAGTGATAGTAGAGTGGCCTTGTTATGGCCATGACCCGGTCCACTGCTGCCATCATTATGGTCGTGGACTGCACGCCATACAAGAAGTTGTTGGTGAAGAATTGCAGCTGAAATGAAAGTGGAAATATTTTGCTCTGAACTTTTTCTGCAGAAATCAACTCTACAATTCCAAACGCAGGGAAGAAAACAAAGAAAAAAATGCGCTGATAAACGTTTAAGGCGCCGGTTGACTCACATGATAGCTGAACCTTTTATCGTACCACAACAAGCATATTTCATTCTAAGACTAATTCGATATTTCGAAAATTTGACCGACAGGAAAAAGAGTATTGGCACGAGGATTCTGCCTTTAAAATGTTTCTTTTTCAAGATTAACAAAAAAGTTTTTTTCCTGATTATTTAGAAAAAACTATCCATTTCAATTTTTAAAATATTGAGTTACGAAGTCTTAATAACAAGTGACAGTTCACGTGACCACCCATACCACGTGATCAAAAACACGTGACCACTCATGTTCTAACTTGAGGAGCATAGGGTTTTTGCACCGAAAACCAAGCATCAACTACGTAAGATTGCGTACTTAAATTGCATATCTTAAGTCATAAAAGCAACAAGAGTAGCCGGTCGCTGGATGAATACTAAAAAAAGTGGCGTCTACTAAAAATGTGACATCTATCTATAAAATACACAAATAATAATAAAATATAGAGTTTTTTAATTAAATGATTTTAAAACATATTTTGTAATCCATTTACTACCAGAAAAACGAAAAAAACTTCTTCGTAGAAGGAAGTTTAACACTGAATGATTATTTTTATTCTCATTTTGACTTTGGTTGGAGAAAAAATAACAGCTGTTTTCTTGACACCGAAAATTTTCTGAGATAGATTATTTGGATCGGAAAAACAAACGTGTAAAATCTTTCCTTATTTTGCCTCATTCTAACCCGTATGGAATTTTTCAGCTAATTAAAAAAAATAGAGAACATTTTTCACTCTGTTTCATAGTTTTTTTGATAGTCACTAGTCACTCTTTGATAGTGATCCGAACAGAAAAATCATTCTTATCAACTCGGAGTACTCCTTTATGCCTATGCTCATTCCAATTTTATTGATTCCTATTCAAAAACATTGTTTGGAAGAAGCGTACAATTAAAGTCTTCGTGAAATAATTGAAGTGGAAGTATTCGATTGAAAGAAATTTTTTCGACAACTTAGTCGATTTTCTTCCGTCGCCGATACTCAATTAATTGGAACCTTAGAAAATAGACAAAATGGAGTTTTCTTAAATACCCCTGCGGCGCAGAAAGTTTTCAGGAAAATTTTTGTGTAAATTTTCAGGAGAAGGTCGAAAAATTGATTTTATTGACCTAAAAAATCAAAACAAGATTTTTATAAATTTTTTGAAAATCCGCCAGCCATACCCCCCTCCCCCCAACCCAAGGAGAAAATCCTAGATTTCATCCTGGTTTGAATATAGTTCAGTTTGAAATTAAATTAAAATAGGAAATCAAAAAACCGGATCAGAAAATCATATTTCTACTTATATTTTGCGAAATCCAATTTAACAAGCTATATTTGCTCGCTGCGGAACACGCAACAAAACAAATGTGACACAAAAATTTACATTTCAGATATTTGTACGCGGAATTCTCGTAATTTTTGTTAGTGGAATCCACTTACATTTTGGAACATGTTTAATGACTTGTCTCTGGAATCCTGGAACATGCAGACACAAAATTGTGCGCCTATCCAGTACACATTTTGGACTCGTAATGATGTTCAAATAGCAAACTAACCTGACAAAATATTCCAAAAGGCTGCAAATCTTTGTCAAAAATCTTCCCCCCGAGCTCGCCAATGCTGTATCCCTGGTCAAACAACGCAATCAAAATATCCACAGAAGATAGAACAAGCATCAGGAATCCAGGGGTTCGGTGGAGTTTCGGGGTTCGGAAGATGACCAGAAGAACTATACTGCTGCTGATTAGAACCAGAATAGCTACTGGAAGCAGAAACGAAACTTCCGCTATATTTAACCACAGAGGCGAGTGAGTTAGCGGCGACGAACCGCCACCAGTAGTGCTGTCAGTATCGTTCGTAGTTTCGTTCGTCATTTTTTTTCTCGTTGTTTTTTGAGTTATTCAACAAAGTTTGTTCACGTTTTTTCAATAACTAGCCATGATAATTTGATCAAATTGTGAATTAAATTTGGATCAGATTTCCCGCAAGCAAATTATTCAATTTTATATTGTAAAAACAGTGAATTAGAAATGTATAAGGGTAATCACGATGATAAATAATGATAATTTGGGCTTTCGCTCATCCGCTTGGCTCATAATTCATCGATCAATTTGCAAATTCGTCAATTAGCGCCAGTCTAAACACAACGTCAATAGTAATTTTGATGAGAAGAACAACTGAAAACTGAAGGAAAGAAAAAAATTTAAATCAGAAAATAGATTACAACTTGATGGTACGTTGTCGGAATTTATCAAAAAAGAAGAAAAACTAAATTCATCCAATAGAATTTGAATACAGTAGAGATTAAAAATGCGGCAGCTAGACAAATAGCACAAATACAACTGCGATAAGCTGAGCATCCTGTATAAAAAAGTCAATTATCCTCCCGACTTGAATTTGTTGTCGATATTATTTCAGGCGTGATTGAAAAATGTAGTCGGGAAAAGATTGATTGTTTTTTGAAAAAGTAACTGGATATCCGGTACTTAATAAATAGAGATTTTTCGTTCGAAAACGAATGTTCGAGCATCAACCTTAGGAAAACGTCAGAATAGTTCAAAATAGCTCATAACCAACTGCGAGAAATGTTTCGTAAAAAATGTACCAAGAAAAAGAAGTTGCGAAGGCTTTAAAGTTTCAGAAGGAAAATTTTTCCCTCTATTTTCGAGTGACTTAATCAAATTTTTGAGCGCACTCATAAATACATTGCTGTCCAAACTTTTTCTCCTTTCTTTCTAATTTTCTAAAAAAAACGCAAGAATTGAGAAACAAAACGTATAACGTCACAAACCTTTTCTGAATTGAAACGTGACAATAAGCTTACTAAAAAAACTGACCTATTTTCTTGTAGTTCTTTTTCTAAGACCAAAATAAATCTTTAAACAGAAAAATTAGTTTTCGGTCCTTTTAAATTAGTTTGTACTCAACCCAAAGGCCTATCTCGAACAATCTTTTTATGTTGGGCACTGAACATTTCGGTTTAGCTCTATGAAAATCCAATCACAAAATGAGCACCTTATATCGGGAGTGAAGCATTCTGCAAGCACATTGCGACAAATTTGGTTTTTTTGCAAAATGTTTATTTTCGAAAAAATGTTTAAGCTAGATTTTTTTATCAATGAGCTAGATTTTTTATCAGTTATCTTAAGCATAGCCTGGGCCAAGTTACTCGACTTATGTTTCAATTTTTGCGCTAGAAATTTTGGATGTTTCAAGCGTCCTAAACAAAAATACATTTTATTTGAATTTGTTGACCAAATAATGTTAAGTTTCGATTTTTCGAACCAAAGAAAAGAAACTCCCGACTCTGATCTGCCCAAAACCGATCTTTTTGGACCGGCTTGACCAAATATAGGTGTATACCAGGGGCGGATCTAGGATTTTCTTTTTTTTAGGTCGGCCAAATTGATTTTCGGAGCTCTCCTAAAGCGCTAAGCACTAAAAAGACGCTGTTTTGGTCAAATTTTCTGCGCGGCAGGCAAATTTTTGAAAAAACAAGTCAAAAAAGCCGTTTTTGGGCACTTTTTGGAAAACTTTCACAAAAAAATCGCGTTTTTTTGGCGCGCGCCCCCCCTCAAAATTAGTATGTATTGGCGCCTAAGGCGCCTTTAGAAAAATTTAAGGGTCCGTCGGTCAAAAATGGATTTCTTAAAAATTACCAAAGGGGGGACCCTTTGGGTCGGCATGGGGTCGAATCCCTGAGGGGAAAGGGGCGTCCGCCCCCCCCCCCCCCTAAATCCACCCCTGGTGTATATTGAGTTTCACTGTCATAAACTGTTTGCTATTTTGCTTGGCTCAACTCAGACTTGTTTCGAACGGCTCGATCAAAATCGAGTCTGTACGCCAAGTAGACTTTCTATAGTGATTCGAACAAAAGCTTGTACTAAATTCAAAAAGAAGACATTTATTATGTATGTGATTACTATCTAAATACTGAAGTTATAAATTTTTCATACGGTGGTCGACATTCCAACTCTGTTTAGCCTATATTTCAAATGTGCTTGACCTGTTTTCCTTGTGCCTTAAAGAAATTAGTAGAATTAGCAAAAAAAAAACTAAATTCTGGCAGTTAAAACTAAATTTTTCCACCAATATTTTCCACTGCTGCATTGTATTTTAAAAAACTTAACAAAAAATATTGGTCCTAAAAAATTCGAGGAAATTTTGCAAAAAAAAATTTCTACAAACTTTCTACGAATTTTTTTTCGCTCATGGAAGTTCTTAAAACCTTCCTAAAATTTTATTCTAGAACATTTCTTGTAAACGCTTTACGGCAAGTAAGTCTTTTCAATTGTTCGCTTATTTTTAAATTAAGTTTGAATCAAAATCTTTCTAAAAAATAGGCAGTGTTTGACTTATATTTAAAAGGTGATCGACTAATGCTCCGTCTGAGCTCGTTTTATGTCTCAAGTTTTCTGACCAAATTGGGTACATTTTAACTGTGCTTAATCCTCGTTTGGAATTTCTGGATCCCCCAAATGAAGTATGTTTCATTTTGTCATTGACTTAATGTCACTTTTCGACCGCTGATTTATATTTTTAATCGCAAAACAGAACTTCTCGAATTTGAAAATCAAATCAAAAATCGAGTGCCCGGGAAATATCGCAATGACAGTTACAAATTTATATACCACCAAAATTTTAAGCAGCACGACAGTTACGCTAATAAATGTGTAGGGTTTCTTAAAATCATCCAACAAAATGAGCCTCTTGTTGCTAATTAGCTGCGGTGAAGTTCACTGGGTCATTTCGATCAAAAGAAGAAAACCTATAAGATACATTTTGGAGATATAATTGCTTACTAAAAAAATAAATTTGGAGGTAAAATTATCATCCCTTATGAAATAAAACCGCTTGTGGTACGGAAAAAATAGGTTCTTTAATTTTTTTTCCAATTTCTAATAACCTTTCACTTTTAGCCCGATCATTGATTTGAACTTATTTATAGAAAAAACATTCAACTGATTTATTAATGAACTTGTGTAGCAGTATTTTAATTTGCTTCATTTGATTTTTGTTTCAGAGTAAAAAAACGGTCACAAAAAACTAATTGAACATATGGAATTAAAAATCAATCATTTCTAATCATTGGTACTGAATACAATTTCATTTCATTTTTGTTGACAATGAACCAAAAAATCAAAAGTATAAGCTAAAACGACTTGAAAAGCAACTGGGGGAAAAGTAAGAAAATAAGGCACCCTAGAAATAGTGGATTTTAATTTGCCTAGACAAAACTCAAGATTAATTTTCATCAAAAAATTACCTGAGAAAAACCAAGAAGAACCAGCTGTCACAAATTCATATTCAATTTAGGGTCTTGTTAGCTATTTCCCCCCTTATTGCAATAGAGGGGGGGGATAGTTAACAAGGTACAAAGTTCGTATATGCTTAACTGTTCAATTCTTTCTTTATAGGGGGATATTCGTTACAAGGTACCATAACAAGATCCCAATTTGTGTTTTCTCTTATTCAAAAACCTTTTCACTTTGCATACTCATTCTATCGACATATTTTTGGATTTGAGAATTCATGTTCACTTGGAATAAAGTTGGGATAAATTTAGGATAAATTTGGGATATCTTAAAACTAGAAAAACTTCGAAATTTGGTAAAGATTCAAATAATCCAATCTTAACTCTTGGCAGATTCCGTAGTTTTGCCTGCCCCACGGCAGAAAATAGGCCTACGGGTTGAAGTTTTTAAAATATAACTCAATGCATGTTTATTCGCTAGTATATATACATGTGGACTGGTGGCTACCACCCAGGTTGTCCAGCTCCTGTCAATAATTAAAACACTGCATTGTCAATAATTAAAACACTGCTTTGTCAATAATTAAAAATTATGTACCACTTATGGCCGATGCGTATTGCCTCAACCATCCTCGCTTTGAAAAAAAAGGTTGAGCTCGTTTTTAGAATCAAAAAGTATGTAAATATTTGAGATCAACTTTATGGTAGATTTTTTTTTAAATTTAGATCTAGAATATATCAACAATAATTCGATTTAAATTTAAATCGATCGAACAAAGCTGCTCGTATCAGGGTAAAGGCTTGAATGTTCTGACTGCCTTTTAAGACCTATGGAGAAGTAATAACATGAAAAAATTAAATGTAATAAAAAATGAACTTTTTTTAAAAAGTTTGAGACTTTTGGGAAAATCATCCCCCCACATGCAATATTAAGTACAAGATGATAAGTTTCGCTCTTAGCAGCAAACCAATTATGGAAAATATGCTTCCTTCAACACATTTGGAACAATTTTTGAGACGGATTAAACCTCCGCTTACGCGTTAGTAGCGCGAAATATATCGTGCGTTAATTGTACCAAAATGGCCAAAATGGCTATTTTTAAACCCCCATAACTTAACGAAATATGATCACATGTGAAATATTTTCTTACAATTAAGCTCAATACAACAATACTGAAAGATAAAAAACAATTCCGTCAAAAATGGCTTCTTAAAAAGTCGAAATTTGTCTGAAAAAAAAAAAAACACCTCGAGCACAAATATTCCGTTATTTTCGTTACAAAAGTCAGTACAATAAAAGTAATTATGCTTGATGATTTCCATAAACTAAAAAAAAGAGCCTGATTCAACAAATAGACTGCTGTAACCAATTTAGAACGATTTATAAGACGGAATAAAACTGCGCTTAATCTTTAACAACGCAAAATATATCGCGCAATATTTTTTCCAAATTGACATATTTGGCAGTCTTCAAACCCCATAACTCAACAGAAATCGATCGCAGATGAGATATTTAGTCAGTGCTCAAAAACACATAGTCAAATCTGTCAAATGTTCCTTGTTAAAAAGTCGAAAGTTGTCTGGAGCAAAAAAACCACCCCGAGCACAGATATTCCGTAATTTTTGTCGTAAGTTGAAACAACAACCTAAATCGATTCTAAATTGATATGAAATAGAAATTTTGAATCAATTCAACCGGGTTATAATCCATTTTCACAGTGCGAGTCACCCTGTCCCCATCGCACTCAAGCAAAAATGAAAAGTATATTAGAAATTTTAGATTTTAATTAATTTTTCTGTCCTAGGGTGAATATGGATGGCAAAAAACATAAGCTTACTCGTATCAATGCAAAGTTCTGAATGTTCCGACTACGTTTTGACATCTATAAAAAAGTGTACAATTGTGAAAGATGAAAAAAACTTTCAAAAAACACGTAAAGTTTT